GAAAAAAAGGAATTACATACTGGTACCACAATCCCACTTTGTAAAAAACAACTGAAACCTTTTCTAGCTCTTTATGGTTTTATTGTTTTTTGTTGTACTAGGGATGGGTGCTAGGACCCAGACAGAGGCCTACCATTGAGCCATATTCTCAACATCTTTAATTTTTACTTTTTTTTATTTGAGATATAATCTCAGTATGTAACTCAGATTGGCCTGTAACAAGTGGTCCTCAAAATCACAACCCTCCTGCCTCAACCTTCCAAGTGCTAGAATTACAGATGTGAGCTGCCATCCTAGCTTCCTGATGCTGACAGCTCAACCTAATTCAGAGCTGGGGGCGGGGAGGTCAGGACAAATTGAACACACCTAGTAGGGTCTCAAGACTGTATCCACACTTCCATCACCAAGGCATACTTGTCGAGTTTTCAAATGCATAAAGAAGCCACTGTGCCCAAGTTCTTGGTTTTGTTTTGATTTGTGTTTTCTACTAGAGAACACTGTATGCAATATAAATCCCAAATGTATTTGAAAGTTAAAAAAAAAAAACAAAAAACTAATGAATAAATATTCATTAGAACCTGGGATATGGAGGGACATTCCTAGGAAAAACATAGTGGGAGCATGTATGAAGTAAAAGGAAAATGTTTAAATTGATAAGCAATAATGCAAATCATTTCTCAGGCATTGATGATGCACGCCTTTAATCCCAGCATCTGGGAGGCAGAGGCAGGTGGATCTTTGTGAGTTCAAAGCTAACCTGTCTACAGAGCAAGTTCCAGGACAACCTCCAAAGCAATACAGAGAAACCCTGTTTCGAAAATCAAAACAAAACAAAAAAACAAAAAATCATTTCTCAAAATATCGAGTAAGTGGCATAACACAGTGGTGCATGCTTTTAATCCTAAGCACTTGGGAGGAGAGGCAAGTAGATCTCTGTGAGTTTGAGGTCAGCCTGGTCTACATAGCTAGCTAGTTCCATGCCAGTGTGGACTATATAATGAGATCCTGTCTCAAAAGTAAAACAAAAATAAAAATATTTAGGAATATATCTAACTAAAGAAGTCAAAAAACCTCCACAATGATATTTTCAATATATTGGCAAAGGAAATTACAGAAGGTAATAGACAATAGAAAAATAGCCCATGTTCCTGGATAGGCAAAATTAATATTGTGAAAATATCTATACTACCAAAATTAATATACAGATATAATGCAATACCTATAAAAATTCACATGCCATATTTCACAGGGTTAGAAAAAATAATACAAGAGTTCACATAGAAGCACAGAAGAGTGAGTGGGCAAAGCCACCCTAAGGAGTAAGAACAATGCTGAAGGTACTGTAACACTTGACCTCAATTATATATAGTATAGAGCTGTAGTGATAAAGACAGCCTACAACTGGTACAAAAACAGAAAGGGAGACCCACAGCACAGGAACCAGCCCCAAGTGTCAACAGAAGGGACTGCATGAAAATACAGTCTCTGCACAGCCAAGGAAACAGCTGGACACACAACCCACAGCATGGTGGTAATCTCTACCAGCTACACTTCAGACAGAATTTACAAATTAGTGTAGACATGGAATGCAAGGGAATAAAACTTCAATCAAAAAGTAGGCACTCAAACTGAAAGGAAGTCTTTTGTTTATTTTGTTGGGTTTTTGGTTTGTTTAAGACAGGGTTTCTCTGTGTAGCTTTGTAGACCAGACTGGCCTGGAACTCACAGACATCCATCTGCCTCTGCTTCCCAAGTGCTGGCATTAAAGGCATGTGCCATCATGTCCAGCTCTGATAGGCAGTTAAAAAAAATACAAATGGCCAATAACTATTCTAAAAAGTATTTGGGTCCCTACCAGTCAGGAAAATGAAAGTTAAAACCTTCCTTGAGGTAACACCTCTTCCCATTCAGCATGGATACAATTAACCAATCCAACAACAAAATCAAAGAGGATATGGAGAGAAACGAACCCTTATTCACTGTTGGTAGGGATGCAAATTAATACAGCTATTACGGAAATCAGTTTGAACATTCCTTTAAATTTTTTTTTTAAAAAGTAGAACTACCATATGACCCATCTATTTTTTCTTTCAGATTTTTATTTGAATTAGAAACAAGATTGTTTTGCATGACAATCCCAGTTCCCTTCTCCCTCCTGTCCTCCCCTACCACCATCCCCCAACTAAAACTTTACCTAGCACATATCCTTTCTGCTCCTCCTGGATGGTGAGGCCTTCCATAGGGTGTCATCAGAGTCTATTGTATCCTTTGGGATAGGGCCTAGGCCCACCCCCATGTATGAGCCATCTATATCACTCTGTGCATATACCCAGAGAACTCCACACCCTTCCATAGTTTTTTTTTTTTTTTTTTTTTTTTTTTTTTTTTTTTTTAGAAAGGGTTTTTTTGTGTGTTTTCGGTTGTTTTTAAAATCTCCCCTCGAACTCACAGAGATCTGCCCCTGCCTCCCGAGTGCTGGGATTAAAGGCGTGCTCCACCAACTTCCTTCCCGGCTTCCTTCCATAGATATTTATACCCCATGTTTATTACTGTTTCATTCATTATAGCAAAGAATTGACATCAATTTAATTGTTCATCAGCAGATGTTGGGCAATGGAGAAGGAAAATTCCGTACATACATATGTACACTGGAATATTACTCAACTCTGAAAAAATGATATTAAAAATTTGCAGAAAATGCATGGGTTTAGAATGCATAATAAATATTAAATGAGGTCACACAATCTCAGAAAGAAATATATTACCTGTTTTCATATGAGGAACTTGGCCAATAATATATGTAAATCAGTGTACATGTGAATACAGTGTAAGATGAAGGAAAGAGAACAAGAAGGAGAATATAAAGCTAATTGGTTTTCTAAGTGCTAATTCTGTCATGGACCTTTTTATTTTGATGATGAGTAAGTACATAAAATACATTTGATTCTGCAAACATAAAACTATGTGAAGCTTCACAACTTCTGTTTCAATGCCAATTATATTTGCATATGTTCATTAGGTTATATAGTTGGTGATATATTGTTTATGATTTATTAAATCCACTGACGATCACAGAAGCAAAGCAGCCAAGCCATTAGCTCTGACCTCTATCTCAGGCTGAAAGAGCTGATCCTGTCTCCACGAACTCTCACCAAGCCTCAGACTGCTGCATTTCCTCCACATAGTTGAAGAGTCAATGTCTTCCTATCCCCAAAGCAGCTGGAGAATGAATGCCAGCTCTGAGACCCTGCTCCTGTTTTAAATACCTCTCATGAGTCCTGGGATTAAAGGTGTGAGCTGTTACTCTTTTAGACTGATTCAATCTCAAGTAGCTCTGGGTGGCTTTGAACTTAGAGACATTCATCTGCCTTTGTCTCCTGATTCCTAGATTTAAAGGTGTGTGCCATCACTGCCCAGCTTCTATGGGTAACTACATCATGGGCTTTATGGGCTTTAATACATCATAAACAACATATCACTAGGGATAGACTTTGGGTGTGGTTAATTTTGGTGTGTGATGTTGATTTGTTTATTAAAATGATAAGTCAGATGTCACGATAAGCAGAGTGAAAAGGCAAATGCATACAGATGAGATGTAGCATAAAGACTGTCAGGAGCATAAATCCCAATGTTGAAAAGTGGACATGGGGCCTGAGTATCTCAGAAAAAACATTACAGTGTGCACCAGTCAGGAAGAGCGTTACTGCTGCTAATAAGCAAAGACAGGTGCTGTGAGAAAGCAGAGCAACACCATTCTCAACTGTCCACACCAGCAAGCACTGAGGATGTGCAGACACTGCTGGTCCAGTGCACATTTGGTTCCAGCTGGGAGGAGTAGGATCGAGACCAGATCCTTCTTAGTGATCTCTATCTCAAGGGCTGGATCTAGTTCCCATGTCATGAGGTCCTCTCACTGAGCCCAAAGTTCATTCCTCAATGGTAATTTTTTTAAATCAGCTCCCTTCCTTCTTTCCTTCCTTCCTTTCTCTGCCCCCTCCCTCTCCCTCCCTCCCCCCCTCCCCCACACACACACCCACACACACACACAGCCTGCAGGGGGCTGACATGCTTTGCTTCCTGTAGCCGGTTGTCTAGATAGAGACAGAAATCCCCATGGGAAATAGATGTTCACTTTCTCCCGAATGTTGGGACTAAAGGCTTGCACCAGCCAACAGCTCCTTTCTTGAACCTACCTGCCACCTCTCCATTTTGTTTCCTTAGCACTGATGTGGCAGCTGGTATCAAAAGTCTCAGGTATATGCAAATTGAATTGGTGGTTTAGTTCATTCACAGCCCCAGGACCCAACATCCACAGCCCCAAGGCCAGCAGCAGATGTGGGGCAGAAATCTCACTCATGGAAGGTGGAGATTCAGAGCTTAGTGTTACAATTATTAATTCAGTTTGGAGTGGAAGCACACTCTGATAGAACTAAACAGATAAAGCCAAGGCAGGGTTAAAACTATACAAAACATCTTAGCAACTTAGCAAGATCTCAGTGACAAGACTGCCTGGTAGCAAGTTCTCACAGCTAATTGATGGCCTCTTTTCAGTATTGCTTTCTGTGTGACACAATTGAGAGTATAACCTCTGCTTCTTATTGGATACTAAAGCACAAGACACTGCCCCATCCAACACTCCTTACAAAGATGCCTTTAAGTTTCTGCCTAACGCTTCACTGTAGAGTACTGCTAGGCTCCGTTTAATCATTGCCATATTGTTCATCCTGTTATTATTATTAGTCTATATACGGCAGGGTGGGGTGGGTATGTGCATGCCATGGCATGCGTGTGGAATTCCGAGGACAACTCCATGGAATCGGTTCTCTCCTTCTGACCTTATGTGAGCTCCAGGGGTGGGTTCAGGCTATCTGTGGGAAAGGTGGGTAAAGCAAGTGCCTTTACCATCAGAGCCATCTCACTGGCCCTGCCAGTTTGGACAGCTCACCACATCTTTTGCTATTTTAATTGAAATGACAACAACTATGGTTGTGGATGGAGTCTTTTGCTTCAGATTCCTAGAAATCCAACAACCAGGCCAAAAGTATGAACTTTTAGGTGAGAATTTTCTTACTAGATTAGGAAGATCATATGGGCCTCTGTAGCAGCTTGGTTCTATTTTGATTCATTTTTTTTACCTTGTATTTAGGGAAGCCAGCCTTGAGTCTCTAGAGTAGGAGTCTGTCTTTCACATTCTGGTCATAGACTGCCAGCACTGTTAGAGGTTTTGGCTTTTCTAGTCCAGCTACTCATTTTTCAGATGGGGCTACAAAGGCTGATATTTTAGTAACCACACAGAGCCACCAAGGATAGAGGCTATGGTAGTGTTGATCCTCTGACCCCAGATGAAGGTAACAGGTAGTGAAAGGAGAGCTGAGCCCCGAGAGATACAGTTGTAAGAGATGAGGGCATCGGGGGCAGAGGGGCCAGATGGTGGGAGAAAAGACATGGCCTCCTGAGTGAAGGGCATTTAATGATGACTGACTATCAATGTGGCCAAGTCCAGTGGTTTAGTGTCTCTCTCTCTCTCTCTCTCTCTCTCTCTCTCTCTCTCTCTCTGTGTGTGTGTGTGTGTGTGTGTGTGCGTGTGTGTGTGCGCGCGCGCGCGCAAGTATGTGTATTTTAAGACAGGATCTTGCTATGTAGTCCAAGCTGACCTAGAACTTGTGACAATCCTCCTGCCTCAGTTTCTGAGAGCTTGGATTATAGGTGTGCACCACAACCTGGCATTAAATGTTTTTATCAGAGAAGAATCTGGAAAGATGGAAAAATAAAAGCCTTGCTTTTCCTAGCCAAGATTTTGCTAATTATACAGTGGTTCCCAGAATTTGAACAACCTTTTGGAACTTGGAAACCTTTTGGTTTGTCATACATTACCTAACTTGAGCTTTGCCCAGAAATTTTTAGGTAGAAAACAGAGCTTTTGTTTTATTTTGTTTGGCTTTGCTTTGCTTTTTGTTTTTTGAGACAGTGTTTCTTTGTGTAGCCCTAGCTATCCTAGAACTAGCTCTGAGGACCAGGGTGACCTTAAACCAGAGATCTCCGTGCCTCTGCCTCATGAGGGCTGGGATTAAAAGTGTGCACTACCACCTCTGGCAAACAGAATTTTAGAGACACTTGTCCAAGACACTCAAGCACACAGAAGAGTTAGAACTTTGGAATTTAAACCAACAAATCCTGTTACCATGTATAGTTTCCCCAACCAGAGCCAAGACTGGGGGACAAATTAGCAATCAGTCTACACATAGGCTACAACGTCCCATGTTTGTAAGTGTTTACAGACCTGTGATGTTGCTTTTTTCACGGTGTCAATCTTGAAATAGAAAGAATGGCTATTGTCTGTGTTGAGCTTTGTGATGGCATGACCAAGTGGCTCTGTCAGCTCCGGGCTGTCTACAGGAATTTTCTTGGGGCATCCAAGGCAATCCTCAGGAAGTGGCTGTTCCAAATCCTCTCCTGAAAAAACAGGTTTAAAGTCAGCAGGTACACCCAAAGAGTAGTCTAGCCTGGCTCCTGTCACACAGAAGCCCAGCATCCTCATTTAAACAAGGTGGGAGGTGACCAGAGCAGGGTTAGGGGAAGGTGGTCCATGAGATAGCCACATTCTTCATCTCTTCTTTGTCCTCCTTGCAGCTTAGATGTGTAAGGAAACCTGTATTTGACCATGTTGAGTCATACGCTGTACTTGTTTTGAATCCCCCCACTTGGGCGGGCAGCTGGCGTAAAGTGCACATGTGGCGGTGGGACTCGGTGGCTTTTGGCAGAAAGATTTATCATAACAGAATGGTGACAGTGAGCGGGATGATCCCATGCCCCAAGGTTCCCAGAGGAAGAGGGAAACCTGCAGCCACACCCTGCTCTGTCAGGCCGGGCCGCTGAGAGGCATGGGAACAGCTTCCATAGGCTCGCGCCATCCGGATGCTCTTAGGGTTTGGACTCCAGCACTCCTGAGAAGGCCTGCAGCCTTTGAGGGTCCTTTTCCCCTTCTCCTCCTCCAGCAGAGCAATGTGAACCACCGGCAAGGAAGGACGCCAATAAGGCATCCGATAAGATAAGTCTTATAAAATATATAGATGTATGATAATTGAGACTGAGCTAACAGATGAGAATCCTAGTCATTGGCCAAGCAGCATTGAACCTAATACAAATTTCTGTGTAATATTCATTTGGGCCCTAACTCGGGCAGGCGGCTGGCGTAAAGCGCACACGTGGCGGTGAGGCTCCGAAGCTTTTGGTGGGAAGATTTATCGTAACACGCCCCCTCCCCAAGTCAGGGTCTGATATGTCCCAAGCCAGCCTTGAATTCTATATGTAGCAAAAGTTGGCCCAGAACTTCTGATTCCTGCCTGTTCAGCTTCCTGAGTGATGTGATTACAGTTGTGTGCCACCATGCCCAGTTTAAAACTCCTTGATGTAAACTAAAGAGAAATGTGTAACTTAGAGGAAGACACTGGTGAACTTAAAGGAATGACCTTCCAATGGCATGCCAGCAAACAGGCAGTGCCACGGTGACTATTGTCTAGACACATGCACAGTGGTGCCTCTCGTGAGAAATGCTGATTTAGTCATAAGCTTTTCAAACCCCACTCCCATCATAACAGGCAGGGAAACCCACCTTTACCTGGAAGGATTCCATTGTGGGCAGTTAAAAACCAGATGCAGTTCTCTCCAACTCAAAACAACACATTTAAGAACAATTGGTGTAAAAGCAAAGCCAGCTGGCGTTGCACCTGAAGACAACTGCCTTGGCCCAGAGAACACACACTGTCCCTTCTGTCACTGTGTTGCCGTGGCCATTACCCAGCGGGGGAGCTGGGTAAGAAGGCAGGCCCCACTGTTTCACCATGGCTCCGCCTGTACCTACTCACCTGAATAAAGGTCACAGTTCTGGGAGAATTGGACAATTTTTTGCTTGATATCCACAAAGGCACTATCTCTACACTCACCGGCATCCTGGTGGGTCAAAATCAGAAATTAAAACCAATTTTGAAAGCAAAAAACTAGTAAAAATAAAAGTCAGTATTCCTGCTTTACAAATCCTTACATAGGGAAAGGGGGGGGGAAGAGAATAAAAGCTGAAAGCAAAAGAAAATCAGAAGTGCATAAGAGCGTCGATCGCAACAAATGAACACAGAGGGGAATGAAATAAGAATATCCACTACACAGTGAATGTATAAGTAAGTGGGATACTCTCTCTCTCTCTCTCTCTCTCTCTCTCTCTCTCTCTCTCTCTCTCTCTCTC